TATATGAAAGCCTCTGATTTGTGTGTATTGATTTTATATCCTGAGACTTTACTGAATTCATTTATCAATTCCAGGAGCCTCTTGGTTGAATCTACCACCTCTCTTGATTGGTTCACATTCTAAGGGGACAGTTCTTTGTAATAGCTCTATAGGGTCCTGTTCTTCAGTAGCTGTCTTTGTGTTTAGTGAGTCTAACAACTTAGTTAAAGTTCTCACTTTTAACCTTTTTTCTCCCTGAGAAAACATCAGGACCAACCTGTTATTGGTTTGTAGGATTATATTTGTAAGTCTCATTAGAAAGAGAAAATGCTTCGAGTTGAGGTGGGATTTGAAACACATGTTATCCTAGATTTTTTAGTAATTTTTGTCAAAGTCATGACAAGGACTGCTGCTTTTCTTAGCCATCTTAAAATAGGAAGATGCAGTTTGGTCAGGACTCTTGAACCCAATTTTCCATAGCATCTGCTTGAGATGAGAGATGCTGCAGGTTTCTGGTGAACTAGAGGAGGTCTCTATTTGCCTTAATCAGGCAGCCTCCTTCCTCCTAGACCAGGGGTTGGCAAACTATATTCTGTGGGCCAGGTGTGGCCTACTGCTTGTTTTTGTATGGACTGCAAGCTAAGAATAGTTTTTATATTTTTAAATGGTTAGAAAACATCAAAAGAATATTTTGTGATGTGAAAATTATATAAAATTCAAATATCAATATTCATAAATAAAGTTTTATTTTAACACAGCCATGCTTGTTCATTTACATGTTGTCTATAGCTGCCTTTGTGCTCTAATGGCAGAGTTAAATAGTCAAAACAGAGACCATATGGCCCCCAGTGCCTAAGACTTAGGCTTTAAGTGTTTACTGTCTGGCCCTTTATAGAAAAAGTTTGTGAACCTGTGTCCTAGAGCCACATTTTCTTTATTCATGGCTACATATTAGTTCCTAATACACTGATAACATATAATAAATAATTGGTTAATAAATAAGTGGACCTTTTTACAGTCGAAGCAACAGTTCCTCATGTAAGTGGCCTCAGGCTATTTTAATTTTCCCTCCTCTTCAGTACCTACCCCCATATCCACCCTCATGGGAAGGAAAGAGACCCTACTCTAGATTAAAGTTTCAGTGTCACTCCCAGGGCCTAGCAGATGCTTTTGCTGTTGATTCTTCAGTATTTTCATTTTCCTTCTTAGAGCTGGGTGAGTAGATAGGCCCTTGGCGTTCTTGTAAGCCAGTGCTTCCAAATTCAACTTTATATAAAGGTCGGGAGGATTTTACTTTGTAGTTCTTTTCATGTTTCTTTTCTTAATAGTTGTGCTAGGGTACTGTAAGTGCTGACTGTGAAAAGTTGCCCCTAGTGTGAAAGGTTTACTGTTTCACATTTTCTGTTTCTAACATTAAAATTGTTTGTCTTTCAAGCTCGAAGAGAAATTCCTTCAAATGGGTTATTCTTTGAGGCATTTGGATTATTTCACTAGTGTCACTTTTCTTATAAATATTTGATTCACAAAAGTAACCATAAATATTTCACAAAGCTGTAATATACAGAAGGGCGGCTCATGAATGTCAAATGGGAAATTATGGTGCATTTATAAAAGAGCAAAACATCTCAGCTATATTCTAAGCTGTCATTTGTAAGCCCAAGTAACCTAGCAGTCGTTAAAAACTCTTCTCTGGACCTTATCCTGTGAGTCATTTGAGCCAAAAACTATAAGAATGTGGCACATATCAGGAAAAGTGTTCAAAAAGAAAAAGCAGCACTCTATTATGGCTCAGAACTATAGAGTGCCTGTCCCTGGAATGCCCAGTATAATTCTGGTTGCTATATCTTAAATACAAAATTAAAATAGCCAAAAAAAAAATGGGGAGGGGGAGCAGTTCAGGGACTATTCTAGGCACTGGGGTTACAGAAGTAAGTAAAACAGGCAAAATCTGTGTTCTCTTGGAACTTACGTCATAGTGGATTAAGACAGACAATAGTAAGTAAAATATATTGTACATCATGTAGTGATGTGTGTTGCGGCGTAAAAATAAAGCAAGGAAGGGAGGTAGAGAGCGCTTGTGGTGACGGTGGGCGGCAGCAGTTAGGGATAGTTTGCAGTTTTGAATAGGTAGCTGGGAGAGTAATACTGGCAAAGTAACATTTGAACCAAGAGCCAAAGGAAAAGAGAGAATAAGTCCTGCTGGAGTTAGGGAGAGGAGGGTTCCAGGCAAAGGGGTGGGACAGTGCATGTTTGGGGCACAACAGAGAGGCTTGTGTTTTCTGAAGTGGAGTGACCCAGGGAGAACAGTGGGAAATGAGGTGGACGTTCTCAGAGGGCATCAGCCAGTATGTTTTAAGGACATGGGCTCTTATTCTGATTGGGGAGAAGCCATCAAAGATTTTGAACAGAAAACATTTTCTCTCTTCATGTTTAAAAACGTCACTTTTACTACGTTGAGAAAAAAATGTAGAGGGGGCAATTACAGCAGTAGATGGACTTTGTGAAGATGCAGTAGAAATATAAATGCCTCGTCGTCGAAAAAAATGAAAAGTGTTATGGTTCATGCTCAAAGTCTTGAAGAGATTTGGCTAGTTGGAATATAGGCTTGATTGACAATGCTGGATTTCTTTTTGTTCTTAAAGCTCCTTCAGTACAAATTAAAGTACTATATTACAAAGCAGATGATAAATGCAAGATGAACTCGCATTGCCCTTCAGTGTCCTGCCTTAAACAGAATTTAGATAATTGATGCACTAGAGATAGATTCATAAGAGATTAATAAGATAAGTTAAGAGTGTTGGTGGACACCTTAGTTAACTTGGAAATTAATGTGCTATCCTGCAGAGTCTCTTTCTTAGCAGACACAACTAAAGGATTAAATGGACCACTGGTCTGACTCTGAATATCATTTCTTGTTTTTGTCATCTTTATCATCAAATTGATAGTCTTATAAATTCAGAATCTGTGATGCTCTCAGTTTGATTTTTTTTTCTTCTTTTTAGTTCAAAAGAAATAGAAGACTTTCAGTCAACTGAGTCTTTTGATAGCCAGCAGATGAATCTCAGTATTGGTGATGACAGCACTGGTAGCTGGTCCAATTTAAGTTTTGAAGATGAACACCAAGATGAAAGCAGTAGTTTTCATCATCTAAGTGAAAGGTAACTAAAATTTTGCATATAATTGTATGATTTAGGTCCTCAGACCTCATAAGTGAGCTGTAACTTTGTGTTGAATATTTAAAAATTATAAATTTGAAAATCTAACATATTTTCAAAATGTGTTTTATTCACAATGTGTTTCTAATGGTTTTTGACACTTATTAAATATAGTAATTAGCCCAGCTAATTTCCTTTGGATGTGCCAGTAATTAATTTGAAAAATATTGCATGTTTAATTTTATACCTTTTAAGCTTTTCCTGAACTTTTTGTGAGCTTTTGAGGAAAATGTTTTCTCACTTTAAAGAGGGTCCTTTTTTTTTTTTTTCTTTAGAGGATAGGAAAAAAAAGACAGTTATCTGTAAAAGGCGTAAAAATAGCCCTGTAATTTTCCTGATATTAGTTAAAATAGTAGCTTTTTGGTGGAGAGAGGGCCCTTACTTGTCCCGCTATTGGGAACAAAATGACCTGGGGCATTTATACTTGAATGATTGAAAGATACATAAATCAAAGCCATTATAAAAATTTGGTTTTGTGTAGCAGAAGGCATTTATCGCATATGTAACTTTTCTTAGTTAACTTTGTTCATAACAGTGGTCTTTGAAATATTTTATTAATTAGGATACAGTTGTTTCTTATGTTCTTACCTCTACCTAAAGGCATTCCTAACTAACCTGTAAAACTCTATAAAATCTTTATCCACATTGACCGATAATTGGAAATAATAAATACCATCTGTAGCTGAGTCTAGAGAGAGGAAAGGGTTATCAGAATACTTCCAGTTTCAGGCATATGGGGGAGGGACCCTGTGAGGCATCAGTTGAACTGTGCCCTTGGAAATGGCAGACGGAGGGGGTGGCGGGAAGCGATTGAGGGGGAGGAGGGAGCATACGAAAGGAAATGGCTTTTCACCTATTAGGACACTTCATCCCACAGTACTTTGTTTGATGCTTGGATTAACCAGTAAGTATTGATACTTTCATAGAATATCTATTTTGTCCTCGTTTCTTATAATGGTATATAAACCACCAATATTTCTTAAAATCTAAGTCCAAAAAGGCAGTGTTTAAAACTGGTAGAAGCAAATGGGGCAATGTTATAAATCATAATTTGGCCCTTTTCCATAACTTTATCTAGAATAGAATATTAACATTTAATTTCTTCTCTCATCTTTGAGAAACATAGTCTTTAGGAGTTCAGTGGGGGTTGACGTCATTGCTTAGAAGATCCTGGTGTTAAAACGGGAGCACTATGGGTAGAGGATTGTGGCATTAAGAGGATTTGTAGCCAGTTGAACAGCTCTATGCAATGTTAATCTGATTTGATGAAAAGGAGGAGGAGTCTTAGCAGTTTCTGTTCTTGGTTCTGTCCTCCTTAGCATTATTTTATTAGTGATATAGAATGTTCATTTATGGATGACTCAAAATAAGGCTGAAAAAATAATCCCATTAACAGAACAAAAGTTCAGAAAGACCAAATCACACTGAGACTAAAATGATTACATTTAGCATGGGCAAATGCATTTAGGTTCAGAAAATTATTGGAATTCAGGTAGGAGCAAACCTGGCTTGATAGCATTTTGTGATAAAAAGACCTGTGTTTCAATTGACCACAGTTGTAGTATGAGCTAAGGATGCCATGTAGTATTAAGGTTCAGGCACTCAGAAAAAGATAGTAGCGTTCATCCAAGGTTCGTGGCGTGCTTGTTGAATATACAATTTCCAGGGCTTCACCTCCAGAAATGAAGATTCATTAGGTCAGTGGAAGGTCCTGAGAGTCCGCATGCTTGATAAGCACTTCACATGATTTCAATGCACGTGGTTCGGAGACCACACTTGCAGATATATTGCTTTACCCATTGTGTCTTACACAATGTTACCTGCATTAGCTGTAGATACTGTTCTTCTCTGGTACAGAAATCAATGTAGGAGATAAAGACTTTGGCAGTTTGGAAACACCTTGCACTGTCATGAGTGGGAACTTCAGAAGAGGGCAACAACTTAAAAAAAAATACCCAATAATTTCAGATTTTCACATATGTTTAGGACGATTATATAATTATTTGATCAGAAAGAGAACTGGTCTGTATATATGAACTTCTTACATATTTGAGGTAGTTTGTGACTCTCTTAGAAGTTATGAATTAGATTAAGTAAGAGACGGGCTAGACTTATAGAGTTTTGAGATAATTTTTATGGGCTATGTCAGAATTGATAGGTTTTCCTATGGCTGAAAGCCATAGTAAAGAATTTTACCACTAGTTTGAAGGTATAAATCCTCCTGTTCTAAACACAGAAAATATGAAAGAACATGAAAGAAAATGATAGAAGCAGGGCAGTTTTTCAAGAATGAAATAGGAAGACTGTTAAGTAGAGAAATTAGCTTATTTTATGTTGGGTTAATATCGGGTGATCCCACCTCCCGATTTACTTAGGGTAGTCTGGTTTACTTCTGCTGCTCTGTCGTAATTGTTAACAGTGGCTTCTTTCATTTTCAAAAGTGTACTGGGCAGATGAAAAATTTATATGGTCACCTTGGAAGTGGTATTTTATAAATAACTGACTTCAAATATGACCCATTTTGAGGCACAAAAGGGGAGGGGAAATGAGGTTAGTTAGAGGGAGATTGAATTTTTAGTCTTTTCATTGTTTAACTTATTTCTTTTCATGTTCATGTAATACTTAGGTGATGGATTTTTATTAATTACATGGAGGAATAATTATTGTTATGAGTAGGATTTTAATTTTGTAATATTTTTTCTTTGTTTAAATAATCATATTGTTAATTGAAATAAATACAGTATTTGAGATCTTTAATTTTCTTTTCTCTTTGGCTCACAGCTATCTGTCCAATCTCTATTTCTATATTTTCTTATTTTTAGTTTGTCTGGCAACAGACCACATGGGCTAAACTCTGGTTGTTTTAATGGCTTTACAATAGAGCTATATTTATTCGAACATATGTTGAAAAGCCCCTGATCACTTTTAACTTTTATTTTCTAACACTCTGGTTCCCAGCCCCTGGGGCCTGGACCAGTACTGGTCCCAGTTAGGGTCTGGGCCACAGAGCTCTGCACCCCCTGTCCCCTCCCAGTCTGTGGAAAAATTGTCTTCCGTGAAACTGGCCCCTGGTACCAAAAAAGTTGGGGACTGCTGCTCTAATGCATTATGGTTTGTGACAATTTGATAGTGTTAGAGTGAATATGGATATGTAAATTATTTGTGAGTGCTTGGAAGCTATTTAGAACTTTAAATAATTATTTTTTTT